CAGGAATGTGTTTCACAGTGGCATTTCTCGTCAGAGGTGCTGTGGTGACCTTCAGCCTTAAGTTAAAGTAGTGCATGTACCAGCAAAGAATCAAACCTGTGCTTGTGCTGATGTAAAGAAAAGCCTGAAGTACCTCAGTATTGTTCCATGTGATGTACCGGGAGGGTCAGCCCAGGCTTTCCTCAGCTCTGTTCTCAGGTCTAACAATATAGCCATCATATTGCTAGGTAAAGAAGTGGCTGCAGTTCCCTGCTAATCCCCAGTTTTGTCGAATCTTAATTGCAGAGTCCTCTCACAGAATTTTAAAATTCTTTGTGTTAAAATGTCATGAATATTAAAATAGTTGCATAAAATTAAGTTAGCTTAAGCTACTTCATTTACTTTCAGTGCAGACACCTATGACGATGTACTACTTATGTCTGCAGTTGTCTCCATCTGTGCAGAGCCTATGACGATGCAGGAAAAGGTCTGTTCAGTTTTTCCAGGTGAATTCCATTCTGTACATTCTTTTCAATAGCCTTTCAATTCTTTTCAGTTTCAAGTACTTTTTAATTACTTCTTCCTGTAGAAGCAATGGGAAAGGCTGGGAATGTCGCAGATGGAGTGCGACTGCACTTCACTCGTAAGAGAGAAGCAACAATACACTTTATTGGTAGAAAACAGTGAGTTAAAGTGTGAGTTAACAAAGTTCAATGGTAAATGTGACAGTGATTTAACAAGATTCAATGGCAAGGTACACTTGATTATTCACTGCATAGAGGACAGGATCAGACAACACTGTCGGGGAGACCCTCCCGTTGAGCCATGCGGTTCAGAAAGGACCCCCCTGCTTTCTAGGCTCCTTCTCAGAGAGGAGTCTAGGTGCGGCTGGATCCAAACCTAGTCCCAGACTTGGCCAACGGTTCATGTCTAAAGGATTATATATGCACAATCAAGCCTTTATATCACTTAGCCAAGATTTCAAAGTTTAGCATGCTGTTCGTCACTTACCGAGGATCTGTTGCAGCAAGGAATCTCTCAGCCTCGAGGAGTAACCTTGAGAGGCGTCCCTACTCCAGGGGAGGTCCCGCCG